CGCCTCCATGGGACACACTGCAGTCTGGGACTGCATAAAGATGCTAAGATTATTCAGCACTGATTTCTGCTGCCTTCAACGTGCTCCGTCCGACTTGCCCGCGTATACAGAGGGACGAAAACGACGGCTGCAGTTTAAAATGCACGTTTTTTTTTTTTTGTCTTCTTCGTTCCGCGCACACCGGTAGAGCAGAAACTGCAAAAAGTAATATAAACAAATAGAGGAGTAAAACAAGGTTCAAGGAAAAAAAAAAAGAAAACAGGACAGGCCTCTCGAGATAAGCGTCGGAAGCGAGAGCAAGCGTCAAATCCCTGGCGGATTTAGACATTTTGCGAAAGCTTTAAGAGGCACACGCCCTTTGACGGGAAGCATTACTTTTGTCGCTGTCATCGCGTGCGCGTCGGAGTCGGGGCTCGCCCTGCATACGAACGAAGCGGCGCTGCCACGGTTCCGTTTTTGGTGTCCCCTCGGCTTCCTGCGTTTCTTTCCGTGGCACGAATGGAGCGGGTCGACGTCGTCGGTGGAAACGCTTTCGCTGACGTTACCGCCGAATCTTGAAGCGAGAAGGTCCACCTCAGTGAGAACCTCGAAATGTTGATGTTGTCCTTTTTTTCTTCACCTTGTATTTTCGGGCTTTTACGTTCAGATTTAAGGAGGACGTTCACCGAAAACCTCGTCAGTCTAACAACTGCGTCGGTATATTAAACAAAACCTGATGTAGTCGTACGTTCGGCGACTTAAAACTCCTTGTCTAATTTTCACTCCCAAAATCCTATAGACTCAACTTTCTCGCAGAGCATATGGGAGGGCCAATCGTTGAAGTCTACAAAGGAAGCTCTGCGAGGGACTCGGCTGATAAAATGTTCGTGCCTAAAACAAAATCAGTAAGCACTGTGCCATTGGTCATGAAAAAACCTCGTACTGAATGCCTCAGCCCATGCCGCTTTTTCTTTTTAAGTATGAACGTTAGAGCCTCGTCATTCGTGCATTGCAGTGATGGGCGGGAAAGTCGACGCTCACACGCTATACATGATTTGAGGTATAAATACAATATTTAGATTTCTTCCCTTAACCGAACTGAGGTTTGCCAAATTGAAACCTTTGGCAACGAAGCGTTTCTTTCATAAGAGCCAGGCGGTGCGATATCAAGAATGCTTGCACAACATCGAGTGTTCAATCGTTTCTGAGGTTAGCCAGAGCTCCACGGGCGAGCACTCGCGAGGAATCGCGACTTAGTAACGTACGCTGGTCACAAAGCTGGGCAGTTTGGATTGTATAGTCGGGTTACACCAAACGTACATTACATACGACCCCCTCATTCGGCGCTTTCATTCGATGTTACCCCTCCTGCTAATGTCAGTAACCCTACGGCGATAGTGACAGGAGAAAGCCGCTGACGCGGATCTGCTTAGAAAAACACTACGGATTTCTACGTGTAAAGAGAAGCACGACAAGCTCTTCCGCAAAAAGATACTTTCCTCTTTGGCAGAGCGAACGCCGAAGAGGTGGCGAGTTGCAGCGATGCGCAGTATTTCAAGCACAAATGTTTCAAATATTTAGTTAACATACTGTCAGTATTTTATATTTCGTATTTAATTACATGTTGGGGAATGCATTTGTCAACTCTATTTAAATGCCTAGTACCTAGTATTTTAAATGTAGCCCTATACAGAATTTCAGGTATTTCTCTTAACAATCGAATGCGGGCACTCTACGCGATTGGACTTGCATGAAAATAGTATAGAACTTGCTGCGACAGACGCAGAATAAGCACTGAAGCAAAAATGAAAAGTAAAACGAGGAATTAATGAAATGAGTACAGTTATTCCCCTTTTAATTGGGTGATTGAATGTTTTTGAACACGACGAATTACCGACGTTTTGTTTGAAACGTATGTGATGCATCAACTCAGCCTTTTAAATTAATCGTACAATGAATCAATACGTACCTTATGTTTTCTCCAGCTATGAAGGTATGACAAACTCGTTTTGTTTTTAGAGTTGCAGCATTCTTTTTAAGCATTTGATTCCTAGTATATATAAACTATACTCGTTATTTGGGCATGTTTATATTTTTAATTAGGGTTAAATTTAAGTTTGAGATGTCAGTTTAAAAAAAAAATGTATTTGAAAATGAAAACTGCAACGAGCGTGCACACGCTCGCTTTATTTGTATCTAGTATTTAAGTATTTTTCCTGAAATTAAGTTTTTGAAGAAGTATTTTGTGTTTGTATTTACAAATGTTTAAATATTCTTCTCATGCCTCCTGTTCGTCTGCTCTTCAGTGTTCGCTCTTCTGATATGGAAAGAGAGGAGGGCTTTCTGGGAGAAGCTTGTCCGGCCTTTGTTACCCTGCAACCGAATATGAGCTTACACATTCTCTTTGCGCATTCTTCAAAGAAGCTTCGGAACCTTAGTCGGACCGGCTTTCTTTTGAAAATCTCATGCCTTCCCTTTGTCTTTATCTTGAAGATGTTGTTTTCTTTTCTCTCTTCGTCGCTTCATTCGAGGCTCCGGAAATATGGTCCGTGCGCTTCTTTAGCGTTGTAACCCTTTTCCACAGGGAAAAAACAAAAACAAAAAACCTTTCACTCGATATGTTTGCTAACACAAATGAAGGTGTAATCGGTTAATCTTTATTGTGTTACTTAGCAAAAGTTTGGCGGTGTTTTTCTAGTTTTTTACTTACGTACACAATTTACCTGAACAAGAGAATACGTTATTCCAATTTCAGGGAAAATTTGTTTTTTGTTATATTTTTGCAACTACCGGGGTTCCGGAAAAAGTACCTGTTAAACAAGCATGAATAACATAATCTTCTTTATAAAAGAACTTGTACCGTATTTTCACTATAGCCCACACGAGGTGTGTACAGAACGCAGGGGCAAATTTGGGATAAAAAATAAAAGCCTTTGCTTAGGTTGTCCGCACCCGGTGCATAGTCTGCACGAAGATCAACTCTCGTTACCCAGAACGCTCCGAATAAAGATTGCTTTATCAAAACACGAAGCATCGTGAAAAACAAACCTCGTATAATTCGCACCTGCAGATAGTCCGCACTTTGCAAAAATTTTAAATTTCAAATATGTAAAGTTCGTGGAGATTACTCCGGAAAATACATTAATACAAACCTTAGATATGTATATGCAGAAACATTTGTATTTATGCAGGTACCCAAAGGGGCATCGGGGTTGAAGAAGGGAGTGACCATAACAAGAACTAACACTATAAAACGAGACATATGTGCGCATAGTTCAACGTCGGTCCTATGCAGTAATAGACGACGCAGACAATAGACAATTTAATTATGTTCTACCTAAAAGTAGAGCCTATAAAAACCTGACTGTGTTTTCATTCCAAATGTTGAGCCCAAATCACAAGTGTAAATCATTTTTGAACTTGGAGCGAACGTCATGTTCAGTGCAACGGCGTAGGCGTTTTTTGTTTAAGTTTAAAGATATATCGGCCTCTTGACCACCCGAGACCATAGAAAGGAACGTGGACAAAACCATAGTACACAGAGGTCTGTCTCGGACCTCTATATGTGTGTGTTTTGTCCACTTTTTGTTCCTAGCCTCGGGTGTTCAATATGTTGAACGTTCACTGTATACCTCCGTGGTTCACCAGCTCGCCTGAACCTTCTCCGCTTTTTAGTGTATTTTTAGCCCCTTCATCCACCATGTGTAAATTTCTGCAATCGTCTCTGCCAATTATTATTTATTTATTTATTGTCTGGGGGAGGTGTTGGGGGGATGTAAAGGGTCTAGACTTTTTGGTGTACCGTATTTTTTGGACGCCGTGTGCACCCGCACCAGGTGTATAGACCGCAAAGTAAAATTTAAGGGTAAACAAAAGATTTTTTACATATTCTGCATCTGGCGCATAGTGCGCACGTAAAAAAAGTTCATACACAGTACACATTGATAAATATTTGCTTCCTTAGCTTACAAGAAAACTTGTTTCTTACATAAAACGTCATTACATGCTTTCTTATTCAGAACATCCGTCATGTCTAGTCAGAATAAGCCATCTCGAAAAACAAATTGTTGTGTAGACGGCACCTGCAAATATACAACACCACGTAACATTTCAACATTTAGACGTCTATAATTTTAGGACTTTAGTGAGGTAAATACGGTATGCACTTACAACGGCAAAACATACGCCAGTCCCCTGCGAAACCCCACATGCCAACTGGGACGACGATCGCTATTCTCAATTATTTAACTGGTTAATCGATTACAATAGTTGGCGTAGATGAGCTTACTTTCCTGCGAGTGCACACGCGTAAGCGCTTCCGGTCAGCCGCGGAAGTGGCATTTATCGTCCTTCTTTCCGCAGACGTCGGTGGCTCTAGTGTGTGGTTCCAATGGGCTCATATCGCTGGCAACGCCTTAATATAGACAAATAAGCAGCAAACCATCACCCGTAAGGTCTGTAAGCTGTTCTTTTCTAGCTTAATTTGCAGAGAACCTTCGGCCTCACACACTGTAGTAAAATAAATAAAGTTGACAACTCTCACAATTTGAACGCATCGCAGCCAAACAAACATGCCCTACCTATCGTCTAGTTTTTTTCTGTTCTGCTATTGCTCTTTTTCTCGTTCTTTCTCTCGTGATTACCGATGTCAGCGCTTACGATATTCCGCCATTCTGCTTTCGTGTTTGCTCCCGCCGTAAAGCGGGAGTAAACAAAGTGGCAAAGGACACAAAATAAACAGAAAGTGAGGATGAATGAATGAATTCTATTATTGGCTACCTTTTTTTGTAACATCTGGTAATTCGCACACCTGACCTAAAACCGTCTGCCATAATCCACCTCTCTCCTTTCAGTTTTGCGCTAACTTTCGTGTGTAGTGAAATTGCGCGATACTGACGTTGATGGTGGAACTGATGTCGACGATAAGGACGATAATGACGATTATGATGATGACAATGATGATGATTAGAATGATGTTGATTATGATACTCAGTTTGACTTCTCTCTGGCTCTTGGCGCAGCCCGGGACCGTGGACCGGCCCTCGGTGCTCCATGTTCCGGGGGCATGGAGAGGGGCTCCCGTTTGGCCTTCCGGAGCGTCCCGCGCAGCCTGGGCAGGGCGCTGCTGCTGCTCGCCATCGTGCTGCTCGACCGCAATGACCCCTGCCACGGCCTCAGGCAGCGCGCCAAGCACCGCGGACACCGATGGGTCGCCGGTGAGGCTCGCCGTCCCGCCGCCGCAGTCTCCATTGGGGTGTCTGGAACGCGTCTTTGATTTTGACAGCGTCTTCAAAAGTGGTTCATCGATATCCTCATACGATGACGTCACAGATGTGTCTGCCGTTGCCTGCTGCGATCCTAACGGTAGCATGGCAGCGGAGGTGATCACGGCAGACGCCCGCTCTACTGTAGGCCGCTCCCCAGCTGGGTAGTTCACTGAAGCTTCTGAAGCCACGAGGCGGGACGTTGCGACACTGACTCTTGCGCTCTCTCGCCCCTTTAACCGAAACTTATACGATCAATGCGCAGGATCGCGACGTATACGACAACATGACATGCCGGATGCTGTGACATAATTGGTTGTTACTTGAGGACCACTTCAGATAGAACACCCCAGTCGAAGACGCTCCAGGCACTGTAGTTTTGGAATACATATAAACGGGACAAAGTATTTTTCTAATTGTTTTAATGAAATCTACCACTTTATATTTTTTATGTGATGCTGTTCGGTTTCGTCGAAAAACAAAATCTGTGCAGGTACAAGCGGTCATGGCATTTTGCTTAGTCATTGTTTCTGCGGAGGTGGCAGTTCGGAGAAGGTCCGCTTTGAGTGCCTCGTGCTTCGCTGCACGCACCCTGTAGGTTGCAGTGATTAGCGAATTTTGGGCTCTAGCTGCAGGGTGTTCGTGGCGAAATATTTTTGTAGATACTACTTTCGTGCTTTTGATATTGTTTTAAAGGGGCAGTAGAGAGCAATTCACGTCAACACTTTACAGGCGCAAAACTGCAAACTTATGGTGTAACTGTCACTCCACTGTAGGCTTACGCTCCAAAAAATTCGACTAGTCTACTTTTCCTATAGTACGCCAGTCACTGACAGAATGATAACGACCGGGCGTCTGTTTTGGAGGCTTTTTGTCTTCCGACGTGCATCGACGGCACCGCCACCCTTGAGGGTCACGATACACCAAACTGCTAGTGAAGCTAAGCAGCTCGCGCTGAAGGTGGCACAGCTTCCAAGACCTATGTGCCGTTTCGCATCCTGCCACCTACTGAAGTCACTGCCACATAAAAGGAGGCTCGGAAAATGCGTGATCACACGAAACATTATGTTCATCGCAATAGTGGACTGTTCGCTGCCCGGAAATGTTTTTTCTGGGTTGCCACCTTGTGTTTGTCCTATCCATTATTTTACCTAAAGTCTCTCGATTAACGCTTCGCTAAGTAGCGACAGCGATCAATGTGCCGACGCGCTCTGCCATTGGTTCATGCCCGCGTTCCGTCTCCGGTTAGGAAGAACATGGCGGATTTGACTCGACCTCACTCTTGGGTAACGGTTTAGTACCTTGGAATTTTAAAACCTATCCGCGTCCAGCCTTGTTTTATCTGGATTCTCACGTGACATGAACCGCGGGAGTAACTCTGAAGGTTTTAAACACAACCATGGTGGGCAAGTTACGAAGGGCATGGTGGACCGCGCGCTAGCAGACGACGGGAGTGAGGCGAGGAGGGCGGGGGATGTGGACTTGTCGCTGCCTGTTGTCCAGGGACCTTACTCTACGCTCGGGGTTTTTCATAATTATGGCAAATAGTTTTCTTCTTTCGTTGATTTCAATCTTTGACTCTCTGAATGCATACTTTGAGATTAAACGAGAATAATAAGAGCTTGTTTTGTTGCATGAAAAGGTGTAAGCGATATTACGTTTTTTTTTTATTTCTTCACGCTAAAGCACTCAGTAATGAACACCCCTAGCAGCTTCTTTTTTTAGTCGCACAGCCACTTGCTTAGACTGCGCGATAAACACCGTACCTTTTACTGAGCCATTTGAATGTAAGAATAATTTGTAAGAATAGTTAGCTCTCGTAAATTCCCACGTCTCAATAGTTGGCGCAAAGGATTGCATGGAGTGCTTTTTACAAATACACCACCAAATAAAAACGGCTAGATATTTAATATTATATTGTACTCAGTTATATTCGGGGTGTATTGCAGTGATTCACCTCCAGAAGTCCCTGGTGGCATACCGCATCAGGATGAACTCGGAAGTCCAATCACTGGCTTTCATTTAATAAAATTGAACTAAGGCCTACGATTAATGTTCTCAGAGCCTTGCGGTGTGGTTTATATATCAAAACTTCTAAGAGTTTGGGCAGTAAAGCATCATAAATGTGTAAGTTGCAGGCTAATTTCAACTTTGGGTGTTCGTGGACAACTTCAAAACAACAAAACCTATAATAAAGTTTGTTTGCCAGCACTTCAACAATATGATGGTTAACTCGGAGTGCTTATCAACTTGTTTTATCTAGCATAAAAGTCTCGTGTTTTCGCTAACTTCCCGAACTCGCAACATGTATGCGGCTTATCTCGGGCACCTGAGTTAGTTTCGAACAACCGTTGCAAACATACGAAAACTTCTTTATAAAAGCATCTCTATTTTTTCAAAAAAATACGCACTTTACTCGCTTTGTAGAAAAATAAAACGTGCTGACACAGGGAATTCCCGCAAGAATCGAATAGCAACGGTAGCTTCCAATCCTCAGCGCGGCTTGGCGCGTAAAATAACCCAATCATCACAAACACGTTGTTTGGCTCTGACTGAACGGGTCTACACGTTGTTTCCCGTCTACTTATTGAGCACCGTTCGCCAGGAACAGAAGCCCCACGCAGGGAGCGGGAGGCACGAAAGGGCCTAAGAGGCAATTGATGCGGTCAAAGGGAAAGCCCCTTTTTCCTCGCTCGCGAGGCCAGCCTGGGTCCCTCGAGAAATTTGTTTGTTGTCGGCCTGATCTGGCGTCCGCCGCGTTGTTATCGGAAGGCGCCGTGGTCTTCCCATCTCCAAAGGACAGTAACAAGGCGCCGGCATTTACGTTTTGGCGTGAGGCACCTCTGCTGTTTCGCTATATCTTTTGAAGCTCCTCCTCTACTCACTTCGGACCTAAGATGACAGCGTAGCGGAGGCTACGTTATCCCAGAGCCAGTGAACCGTGGTGCTAGCTTAAAGTCATCTCGCTCTTTGTGTGAGGGCTAGCAGCGAGCGGACGTCACGAGGTTCGAGGCTGGAACGGCGATTCGTACATCTTGGCTCGTAGCGACCACTCCAGTGTCAGCTTAATGGGGAAGGAACCGTGCGGCATTGCGCCAACAAAGTGGACATGTTGTGTTGTTGTTTTCTGAGGGAGCCGGCTTTGTTGGTCAAAGAGGGGATTGATGAGCTGGCTGACTGTCGGTGCGGGATGATGAGGAACAGGAGTTAGGGAGTCGGACAGTTTTGCAGGTAACGAAATTGACTTGACAAGGCTCGCAAGGGACACGCCTGAGAAGCAAACAACTGATAACGAAGAAAATGTTTCACGGAAGAAAGGAAAGAACGGCAAGAAAAAAAAAATGAAAAGACGGACAGGAATTGAGAAATAAAGATTGATGAAAAAAAAGGAATAGACGAGGATGACATAGGGTTAGGTATAAATAATATGAATGGAGAGAGGACGATGTGGACGGAGCGCTTAAAAGCTGGAAGCGAAAATAATGAATAAAAAGGGGGTAAAAAAAACGAGTGAGAAGAAAACTAAAAGCAACGAGAGTAAGAAAGATATATGCTAAAGTGAGGAAAATAAAGAAAAAAATACTCTGGGCTTGCTTACCAAACAAAGGAAGGTATCTGGCACACCTCAACGAAGGTATTAAGAATAATAGTGACAACATAAAACTTTCTAACAGTCAACCAAATATTTTTGTTTTCTAACACCGCGTCTTGACCGCATTTTGACAGGGTTTTCAACCGGCTACTTGAGGATACATAACCTCCATTTCGCCTCTTAGCCAGCAAGGCTAACAGAGAAGGAAAACATTAATGTAGCCGCGTCTAAATGTTTTTCTTCATCTAAAACTTAAAAAAAATGTACAAAAGCAAGATTGTAGTTAAGATATCGTAGGAAAAGTGTCAATGTCAAACGAAAACCAAAAAAAAATCGCGTCAATAATGCTGCACAAAATATATTCCTTCATAAATTGCTGTAAAAATGTTAAAAATGATAGACATTTTTGGGAACGCTCTTTGCGGTGTAGGAAATCTGGACTGCTACGTAGTAAATTAACAACAACTGCCGCAAACACTTATAAACATTAGGTTCTTAAATTTCACAATTTTGATTGCATTATATTTAAATAATAAAATATGGCGATATGAAACAACGATATTGAAAAACATTTTGTGCAACCTAGATCAAATACAATGTTTTCATTTGACTAGGATGTAAAGGAAGCAGTGCAACAATTTTTGTACATTCAGTAGGTAATTATCACTATTATGCCTTGACGTACATAACCTATGACGCACTCGTTAGCTTTTGTTTTACGCCATAGAAACCTCACAAAAAAAATAGTTATTGAAAAATTGGTAGCCTTCACCCCTTTAACCTCAGTCAGATCAAGTGACCCCGTGATCTGGTGTCGATTATATGTAGCTGATGTTCATTTCAGTCTCGCGCTTAAATTTGACAGAATTCGGTGAACAGTCGCTATTTTCGTTCGGAAATTTTCCCGACCGCAGCAATAGTACATGAGACACTCCGCGAATGTTGGCGGAGGCTCTGATTGCCATCAGCCAGAGTCGAGTGTTTATTCAGTCCATGAGCTGCATTTGGTCATTTTCACCAGGGGTCATCCCAGTGATTACGCCAATATGTCAAGATTTCAAAAACAAAATCTAAAATGAATAGACCTCTTTTGTCCTTTAAATTGCACCATAACAAAGATGCTCTAATGTCAGTAGCGTTGCGTGCAAGTATGTTTGGGTAACACTAGTTCCAGTGTACTTGTCTAAAGTAAGGAATATTTGAGCCCAATATTGTGGCGCATCCACTTTAAGTAATTACTCTCTATAAAATCAGGCGCTTCTACTCCCGTTCAAAGCATTGGGAGGTTCAATAACTGTAATCTATAGCGAAGGAGCTGGGTGAATAAAGAGGCTGAAAATACGCTTATTTTTAAAAGAAA